ATTATTCCATTTCAAAAATATCATTCACAAGATTAAAGTAATGATTCTGCTTAGAATTTCTGAATGTAAATCATAATATCAAGGTTTGGAGGATCATACCAATTGAACAAAAACAAAAGGAGAGAGAGAGAAAATAACTGGTTGGCAAATAGATGTTTTCCTAAATTAATCAGTATTGCAAATTAAATTTTCATGTCTTCCCCATACTGCAGTTTGAGGTATGTATTACCAACACAAGTAAAACAAAAAAAGCATAAGAAACTTTCAAAATAGAATGAACAACTCTATTTAGAACTGCATTTCTGACTGTAAAAATATCTCAATTTAATAACTTATTGAAATGTGATTTGATTTTAAAATGAGTTTGCTGGTTTTTTTGTAAAATGATTTTAAACAATAAGTAAAATATCATGATTAAAAGATAAATAGTTTAAACCAACCTTTTATATAATGTTATCCAGAATAGCTTTGAAATGGGTAAGCTCAGAAGTTCACTTACACTGGCATCCTGTTTCTGATGGTGCCTGAAAGTGGAAGCATAGACTACAGCATAGCCAAGGTCACCCTTGTGGCAATGCTTTTCTAAAATAATTTACTGTTTTCTAACAGCTTCTGCCTCAGGGACTTATTTAGACAGAGTGATGTTCTTGAATTTAATAGCTCTCAATGGATTATGATTTTTATTAAATCTTCCAATCTCTTTGTGAAACTACGTGGACCTACAGCACCACATCAAGGAACTGCACAGCCTAAGCATTTTGAAAGGAAAAAGTACCTCTTTACATTTGTTTGGAATCTGCCTGAGAATAATCTAATTTGATGCACTCTGGTTCTCTATTATGGTAGTTATGATTTGCACACAGTGAAGAAATCAGGCTCAAAATTCCTAAAGAAGTTATTGCTAACATTCTTCTTTTCATGCTGCCCTGTATGGGCTGCATGTACTTGGCTGTGTCCTTCTTCTTAGTTTTTTCAGCTGTAATGGACATGAAACTGATCTAAGCTACTGTTAAGAAACATCATCTGAAGGGGAAGAAAAGAAAGCTAATGTTTCAGAATATTTTAATACATACGTGTGACTTGATATAGCCTAATTTTTCATTAGCCTGTTCTTTTAATATGCAGATGTGATACAATGAAATAGCCAATGAGTAGCAGATTCATTATTGGCCGGTCTTTGACTTCTGCATTTACATATAGGCAACTTCTTTCCTTAGAAAATTACTTAATAGTATCATTGATTTCTCTTCTCTTTCTAAGCTCAGCTTTGGAGGGATCCCAGTGCCTGGAAAAACAGGGACATTATCACGCAGGAACTTTCATGGGTGTTTTGAAAATATTTATTATAATGGAGTGAACATTATTGACCTGGCCAGGAGGCATAAATCTCAGATCTACTTTGTGGTAAGAGATTCATAGTTAAGAAAGAATAACTAAATAAAATGGGAAAAAGACCACAGTCACTCTCATAGCCAGCTTGTGAATGCACAGTTCTAGTAAAATCTATGTTACATAATGAAAGAAAAATGAAGTTATCACTTAGTTGGACTGTTTTACATTTGCTGCTGTATAGACTCATCCAGTAGAAAATAAAGGATGCATCTTATTCCTCAGGTCTTTAGCTGATATTTAGATATGTATGATATCTCACTGTTGTGTGGTATCTCACTGTTGTGCTCATACAAATATTAGTGAGTAAAATAAGATGTACTTGAAGCCATTGAATCTCTGGCTTTGTACCGGAGAAATAAGAACCTGTATCTGATTAATAAGATCATGAGCAGTATATTTTAAAAGTGTCCTATTGGTAAGGACATGGATCCACTCTGCTTTGTCCAGAGCATTATAATTTTGACAGAAAACTTCTGTTTGTCAATTTACACTGTTCTTTGTCTGAAGAGTCATAGTTTACATTGGTGGGTTTAGTGCATGTATTGCAACATGGCCAACAGCTATACTATCCAATCCCTACCTTTTAAAGAACAGTCCCAATAGCAAACCAAATTTATTCTGTGTTACAGAAGGTTTTCTAGAAATTTTACTAAGTCCTTTGTTGTTGGTTTTGTTGTGTTTGGGTTTTTTTCCATTAGTATGAGGGTCATCTCTATTTGCAGTATTAATTTATTTACTAGCAGGGAATGCAGAGATAGGATGGAAACAATCAGTTCAAAATAATTGACAAAATATTAAATGCTTTCAAGATCCAAACATTTTTACTTAGATTTTAGTTCAGAACATGAAGAAATTTGATTTTCCATTCCCAAAGAAAGGAATGACAGGCATCTCTTCTCATATGAAGCTCATCTGAAACATTCTAGAATTAACTAAGTTGATAACTTTGTATAATATTCTGTCCATGATGCTGATGGATACTGTGGAGTGGGCAGTTAAAGGAGGTTCTCTGTGGACTAATCAAGGGGGAACTATGAAATTATTGTAATAGGAAATGCCATTATCTTTATCTCAAATGCTTTAAATTGTTGTGCTACTTTCAGAAATATTTAGGAAATGTTTTATAAATGTTCCAGAAAATATCTATGTTTACACAGAACCCTTGTTAAATAGGTACTTATCTGGGGAATCTGCAAATGGCCAACTTTTAGCATTTAACAAGATTTATTAATCTCATCTCTGCCTTTTCACTGTGGGTCAGCTGGCCCACAGAGTAATTTCTCTATAACTGAGTTCATAAGACAAAGCTTTTAGATATTTATGCATTTTCTTGAGGAAAATGAAAGCAAGTAAACTGCAGTATTTTGCCATGCCATGGACTGGTGAATATTTTTCTTAAATTGATTATAAAACTTTTTCTATGTGGTCAAAGTTTTATGTACATTCAAAATTTTAAAACCTCTTTGTGTTGAACTGAAATGTATGTTAAATTCCAAAAACATTAATCTTTAGTAATCATTTGTACAGAACAAATTAATTACAGTTCAGATGGTGCCAGCAAGTCCTTAGATCATAGTGCATATTGTATTATTATCAAGCACTATAAAGTATTAGCTATCTCTGACGTCAGAATACATTATTCCCATTCCATTCTTCTTATCTGTATCACTCAATACAGGCAGATGCAGGTTAATCTCGGAGTTTCTCAATGAACTCATCCTCAAGTTTACCTAATAGCCAGTGATTTCAGAAGAAGGTAGGCACAAAATAAGGGCTAGGTGCCTAAATCCGGTCATGTTCTATACCATACAGGCCTGCTTGAAAACATGTTTGCTCCTGATTTATGAAGTATATGGTTCACATTTGTAGGCAGCAAGAATTTGTATATGGACTGTTTCTATGAAAAGAAAAATTGTAGTCAGTACAAATCTTCAATAGCATTAATTTGTAAAAGCTGCTTCTTGGTCCAGCAAAATGTTGGGGTTTTTTTCTCAAATTTAATGCTGCCTTAAACCATCAGTGCCAAGCTTAACATTTTTCTCTGCATGCAAGCATTTAGACCCACATAAGTATTTGCATGCATTCACTGGTATTTTATCTGACATTCAGAAATTTGTCAAATCCCTAATGCTTCCTGAGGCTGAGCCAAAATAGAAACAAAGCAGGTCTGTCTAAGTCCTGACGTACCATTAAATCACCCATGTAATTTAGGAACTTATCTCTTATACACGAAGGTCTTTGCCACTCTTCTGAGGCAGATAAATCTGTTCTGGTCAAACAACTATGTAAACATTTCTCAAACTGGTGATATTCATATTTGATTCTTACACTAATACCTCCAAGTATCATAAATATTAGTTCTATGCACCATGTTTTGAAACTCTGAAGTTTCCATAGAGAAATTCTCATGACTGTTTGTAATGCCATATTTGTTTCATTTCTTTCTAGGGTAACATATCCTTCTCATGTTTAGAGCCACAGGTGGTTCCTGTTACATTTCTGAGCTCCAGTAGTTACCTGGCACTGCCAGGCCCATCAGGGCAAGATGAAGTATTCGTCAGTTTCCAGTTTCGCACTTGGAACAAGGAGGGACTTCTATTATACAGTAAACTACACCGGTCTTCAGGTGGTTTCCTCTTATATCTGAGTGATGGGAAAGTTAAAATCAATCTTCATAAACCAGGAAAAGTACTGAGTGACATCACTGCAGGTAACAGAAGTGAGGAAAAAAATCCAAGATTCCTATGCATTTAAAAAAACAGATTAATGAAAAGTCATTTAAATTAGTACCAACATTCTTGACTCGATTTTATGACTAATATGTGTGCAACTATGCTTTACTTGTGTGAATTTTAAACCCAAATATTTCTAAATGCTTTATTTTCTTACAAATATATCTATTCTTTTTTTTCTACCATTAATGAATAGAAATTATTTGCAATAATATAGGCTGAAAAGTTGAGTCCTTAGCTAACATGCGTGCAGTATGTACAGCTCATTTGTATAATCTGGGAAATTCAGGCAGCTTTTTCGGTTGTGAAGAAATTTAATCTCATACTCTGTCAAGCTAAGCTATTAAAATATTTTTCACCATTTGTCAGTGCCTTCACAAGGTATCAAGTAATTAGTTTTTCCGTAAAGTTATGCATCATTGCAAATATTATGTCTATTATATTCTAGGGCTCTCAATTGCAGAGGTGCCTGTTAAACTTGCACAGTGGATGCCCAGTACCAGATTGTGTTTGAAGAAACCAGGGCAAGCTTGAGCCTACATTAAAAAAAACCAAAACCAAAAAACCATACATACATACATACATGACATAGGAAAAAAAAGAAAAAAATGAGAACTTAAGGAGACTGAATACCTGAGAGCTAAGGGGTCACTTTCTAGTTAATCCCTGAATTGAGACTAGATATCTGCTTTTGGTAATGCACCGCTAGACAGCCGGCAGAGTGATACAGATTTCCCGAAAGCCAGTAATTTCTAGTCTTATCATGAGTGATTTCTCTGTTGGCAACAAATATATATGGACAAGAGGATGAGGCAAATACAGGATTATATCGTTCTGTTAGAGTATCCAACTGAGATTCTGAGAAGCAGCTCCTTGCTAAGATATCTGCTTTTGGTAATGCACCGCTAGACAGCCGGCAGAGTGATACAGATTTCCCGAAAGCCAGTAATTTCTAGTCTTATCATGAGTGATTTCTCTGTTGGCAACAAATATATATGGACAAGAGGATGAGGCAAATACAGGATTATATCGTTCTGTTAGAGTATCCAACTGAGATTCTGAGAAGCAGCTCCTTGCTATCACCTCGGCCTGG